GTGGCGCTACTCCAGGGAGCTCCCTACTGGCCTGAGGGTACTGCTGGGGAAAAAGCTCCGGAATCCATGCATGCGGTGCGCGCACACCTCATTCGAATGAACATGAGCAACACATCTCGAAGAACAACAGTTACGAGGTAAGTAACCGTTTTTTCCCCTTCTTTGAGTGGTTGCAGATGTATATTTCAATCAGGCAACTAACAAGCAGTAAGAGAAGGAGGAGGGACCTAGAGTCTGTTTAAAGAACATCTGCAGTTTGCATCTGAGGCAGACATGGTCATAATAGCAACGTGGTTGGTAAAAGTATGCACTGAATACCAGTTAGCAGCCCTGCAAATGTCCAATATAGAAACTTCCCTGAAGAATGTGATTTGAAGCCGCTTGGGCTTTCATTGAATGTGCTACCCATGTGCTGTCCTAATGCAGGAAGTGATCCATCTGGAAATCATTTGTGTGGAGAATGCCTGACTGTTCAAATGATCCACGTTGGAGACCAATACTTAAGGTGATGACCAAAATGTTTTAACTTTCTCCAGACAAAATGCCAAGCATCATCTCACATCCAACACTGTTCATTTGCATCTGTGTGTGGCTTAAACTGTCATCAGAGGAGGTTCTGGAACAGATTGAAAACTTAACAGTAACGAGTCATCAGGACCAGATGGCATTCACTTTTGATTTCGGTGGTGGCTGGAGTGCTGGCCAGGCATCAGTTTCCTGGAGACTCAGCCATGAGGTTCCTTTGGAGATCCCTTCAGATCTGCAGAAGGCTTTATTTACTCTGGGCTGGTCCCAGGTTTCTGCTGTGATGTTACATCTTGTAGAGAGATTTTCTGGCCGTTATTAGCCAGGATGAGTAAGAATGGTGTCCCTAGCCTCTGTTTGTCTGGAAATGGATGACAGAAGAGGAATCATGTGATGATTACCTGTTGTGTTCCCTCCTTTTGGGGCATGTGGTATTGGCCACTGTTGGCAGACAGGATATTGGGCTAGATGGACCCTTGGTCTGACCCAGTGTGGCCATTCTTATGTTCTCAATAAAGAATACAGGTAAGTATATTGTTTAGCTAAGGTGAAACTGTGAACTCGCCTTAGACAAAAATTCTGCATGTAGCCTTAGGGCTACTTTGGATTTGAAAACATGCATGTGTAGGTTACATCTACATTACACACTTGTTTCAAAATAAGCTATTTTTGGAATATAAACTCCTGAAGTAGCTATTTTGAAATAGAGCATCCACACTGATTGAAGCCTGAATCACATTTAAGGTCCCCTGGAAGCACTTTGGGCAGGGCAACAGGACAGCAGTCACTTCCTGTAACTGCTGTATGAGGCTATCTGAGGCTCATGCTTAAAGGGAACCTCTGTACAGTCGTGTCTCAGTCTCATCTCCATTGCCCACCTACTTGAAGGATAGCAAACTCTTTCTCACTGCATGCTCTGTTTGCCCTTGCAGACACCACAGCACTCCAGCCATGGGGCCAGGCCTGCTGAAAAGCAATAACCAGTTAGCCTTCATGCTGCACCTCATGGTGCAGTTACTACAGGCTGCCTTGTGGCTTTGCAGGAACAGGACCCATCGCTCCCTGTGAGGCACCTCCTCTCCTCTCTCCAGATGTTGCTCATGCAGCACAGCCCCTCCTGCTCCCCCCTGCACACTGTGCACTGCCACTTCTGGCGCTGGGACATCAGTTCTGACTGGTGGGACCACATTGTCATGAAGCGGTGGGATGATCAGCAGTGGCTCCAGAATTTCCACATGTGGAAGGACACCTTCCTGGAGCTCTGTGAGTGGATCACCCCTGCCCTCTGGCAACAGGACACCCACATGTGACCCACCATCCCCCTCCACAAGCAGGTCGCCTTCACACTTTGGAAGCTCACCACACCAGACAACTACCGTTTCATTGGGAAACAGTTCAGCATGGGGAAATCTACAGTCAAGGCTGTGCTTATGCACGTATGGCTCTCTTACTATTGTCCCAGAGGCTGGTGAACTACTGGAATGGGGTTCCCTAGGGAAGGGAGGGTGGACGCTCCCTCCTGGAAGGTTTTTCAGTCCTGCCTTCACAAAGCCCTGCCCGGGGATTGGGTAAGTAGGGGTTGGTCCCGGTGTGGGGAAAGGAGGTTGGGCTTGGGGACCTCCCAAGGGCTCTGGCAACCCTGTGATTCTCTGTTTGTCTCCTTCTACAAGTGATGATGGCCATCAACATTATCCAGCTGTGCAAGGTCATCATCCTGGGCAACATGGACCCCACTGTCACTGGCTTTGCCTCCATGGGCTTCCCCAACTGCGGGAGAGGGAGGGTGGATTGACGGCACCGACATCTTCATTCAGGCTCCTGACCACCAGGCCTCTAATTATATTATCTGGAAAGGGTATTTGCCATGGTCCTGCAGGCCGTCGTAGACCACCGAGGCTGGTTCATTGACATTAACATTGGGTGGTCAGGGAAGGCGCATGATGCCCACATATTCCACAACTCCAGCATCTACCAGAAGATGCATGCTGGCACTTTTTTCTCCCACTGCACCATCAGGGTCAGGGGCCTGGACATGCCCATGTGCATCATGTGGGACCTCTGTCTGATCTCATAGCAACTTATTCTCTGTCCCTCCTTTGCCAAATATCAGCTTTATTGATTGCCATAACATCCTCATGGGAGTAAGCAAACTGTAGGCCCTAATGTCAGGCCTTCAGTCCAGGATGATATAGATTCAGTTGGAGACCAACCTATAGGATGAGTAGAATTGGTGTTTGTGTGTTAAAATACAAGATGTGATGAGATCTGAGGTTTTGGTTCATCTGGATCTCTAAAAAGCTTAATTCCTTTTTTGGGAAAAGAGGAAAGAAGAGAAATACTTGGTGCCCCCTCACCTCCTCAAAACCCCAAACAAGCACTTAGGACAATGGTTTTCAACATTAAAGCCCAGCCCCCAGTACAGACGGAAGACACCAGTTAAATAGCCTGGATTGAGAACTGCTCGAGAACAAAACTGGTACTGCTTCCTGTTGTATTTTGTTGCAATCAGATCGACCAATGTAATGCCCTGTTCCCTGAAGATGGATCCCCGGGTTTTGCTCTTCAGAGCTCACTTACGATTCTGGGCAAAATGCCTGTGAAGTGATCAGCCATTTGGGTATGTCTACACTACCCCGCTAGTTCGAACTAGGGTGGTAATGTAGGCATACCGAACGTGCAAATGAAGCCCGGGATTTGAATTTCCCGGGCTTCATTTGCATAAGCCGGCTGGCGCCATTTTTAAATGCCGGCTTGTTCGAACCCCGTGCCGCACGGCTACACGCGGCAAGGGCTAGAGTGAAGTGATCAGCCATTTGGGTATGTCTACACTACCCCGCTAGTTCGAACTAGGGTGGTAATGTAGGCATACCGAACGTGCAAATGAAGCCCGGGATTTGAATTTCCCGGGCTTCATTTGCATAAGCCGGCTGGCGCCATTTTTAAATGCCGGCTTGTTCGAACCCCGTGCCGCACGGCTACACGCGGCAAGGGCTAGATAGTTCGAAGCCGAGGCGTACAGATAGTTCGGAATGGCTTGCTAGTCTAGTTCGAACTATCTAGCCCGTGCCGCGTGGCAACACGCGGCACGGGGTTCAAACAAGCCGGCATTTAAAAATGGCGCCGGCCAGCTTATGCAAATGAAACCCGGGAAATTCAAATCCCGGGCTTCATTTGCACGTTCGGTATGCCTACATTACCACCCTAGTTCGAACTAGCGGGGTAGTGTAGACATACCCTTTGATTCTAAACAATGGTCACTGGCTGTGAGAATAATGCCACAGAAAAACCATAAGTTCGTGGCTTTGTGGCAGAACTGCTTGGGGTAAGCAACTTCGTGCCCCGACACACTGGAGTTATTCATTTTGGTGCGTTAGGAGCAGCTCCCCGGGTTCTCCGTTCCCGCTCTAGGATGTCAAGGGTGAGGGCCAACACCTGAGCGGGCATGGCTAGATCCAGAGAGTGGGGCTAGGTCTTCGCGGTGGTGGCGTAGGAGGACGTGCCAGGAACACGCGTCGGTGTTTCGTTCGAGGAGGGGCTAGAACATGTCTTAGACATTCAGACTTGAGGAACCAGGGGCTAGTGTCCAGATCCGCCTCTTACCTTTCCCCTCCTCCAGAGCAAGGAGCGAGCGCGAGCGCTTCATGTCTTCTCTCCCCGTCCTCCTGCCTCGCCCCTCGCTCGAGGGGCTCCACCTCCACCCGCCTTCCTGGTGTGCAGCCCAGCTCAGCCGCCGCGGCCGGAGAGTCCCCGACTCCCGCCGCCTGCTGCCATGGGACCCAAAGCCGCCTCCGGCTTCTACTTGGGCAGGAAGCCCGCCGCCCTGCTGGCCCTGCTGCTGGCCGCGCTGCTGCTGGCGCTGGCCGTGCTGGGGGCTCTGTACGGGCGCTGCCTACACGAGGCGGAGGAGCTGCGCGCGGCAGAGGCTCCCCCCTCGCCCACAGCCCGCCCGGGGACGGCAGGCACCGGCTGTTGCACCCCCAGCCCCGGCAGCACGCGCCGGCCGGGAGCCTGGGACCACCCCCGCCTGCCCGGCGCGCTGCTGCCCCTGCACTACCAGCTGCGGCTGTGGCCGCGCGTGAGCCCCGGCCAGCCCGCCCCCTTCGGCTTCTCGGGCCAGGTGAACATCACGGTGCGCTGCGCGCAGGACACGGACACGGTGCTGCTGCACAGCGCCCAGCTGGAGCTGTGGGGGGCGGCCGTGCGGGGGCCCCTGCCGGAGGAGCCGGCCCGCGCCAACGGCGGCGGCAGCATCCAGGTGGAGGAGCTGTGGCTGGAGGAGGAGCGGGAGTACGCGGTGCTGGAGCTGCGGCGGAGCCTGCTGGCCGGCGGCAGCTACGTGCTGCAGCTCAGCTTCAGGGGGACCCTGAGCGAGGAGCTGGACGGGCTCTTCCTCACCCACTACACGGACCAGGGCCAGAGCAGGTGAGCGCCCGGGCGCCGCGGGAGCTAAGCGCTGACACGGGCAGGTGCAGGACTGCAGCAGCCAGCTGGCCCAGACGCCTTGCTCCACCCAGCCGCGGGAGGGGGCGTGGGGCACTTTGTGCGGGGCAGAGGAGGGGAGGCCAGTTCCTCCAGGCTTGATTGGATAGTGGCCTCACATCCAAACCCAAGGTCAATGGCAAGATGGCCCTTGACTGCACTAAATCGGTGGTTTTCAACCTGGGCTCTGCTGACTGGCTGAGATTTCCAGAGGGCTCCTGGCACTTCCATTTGAAAATTTGTAGAGGTCCGCAAATGGGGGGAAGAGGGAGAGACTGAAAACCATTGCCCCAGTTGTTTGTTTTGGGGAGTTTTGAGGAAGGAGCGGGTATTTCTCTTCTTTCCTTTCTTCTCAAAAAGGAATTCTAAGCTTTCTAGAGATCAAGCTGAAACAAAACCCTCAGACCTCATCATATCTTGCATTTTAAGAAAATCAGTACAAATGTCCAACAAATGACACACATCTTGGTAATAGCTTCCTCTAGGTGTATGCCATGGAATACAGTTGTATCCCAATTTGGTATCTGGTCTTATCTGAATAAAAATTCTCCTTTGCTGATGGCTTAAGTTCTCCTTTTGTCTGTTATGTGGACTTAAAAACAAAAGTAGGTTTGTGGCTATAGAACATATAAAAGACACTATACAAATAAAGTAGTCTTGTTTGACAACAGGAATATCCCTCCCCAACCTCAGCCTTTCATGGTTACACAACACACAGTTTGTTATTAGCTAATGTGTTAGCAAATCTTCTCTGAAGAAAAATACTGCAACAGACATTCATAAATTGCTTCTTAATCTGTTCTATGCTTTTTATTTACCAACTTCAAGGAACTATAAAACAAGACACTGTAAGTTCCCTCTGTTGGCTTGCAATCTGTAGCTCTGGTTCTAGTGTCCTTATTCTTGGTGAATAAGGAAGCACTTATGAAAGTAGTTCCATTGACTTCAGTGTGAGAAAAGTGCAAGTTAACACAGTAAATGTAGCAGGACTGGGCCCTATACAGTAATTCCTCATTTAACACTATAGATATGTTTCAGAAAATGATTATGTTAAGTGAAAACGTGTTATGCGGGGTCAATTTTCCCACTGAAAATAATGGAAAAGGTGGGGGTTGTGTTTCAAGCGGTGGTGTCTGTTGGGCCTGGGACATAAGGTTACAGCAGGGAGGGGAGGTGTTTGGCTCTGGGGAAGGGAAGGAGAGGAAAAGGGAGGGGGATTGGTTTAGGAGTATGTCCCTGTAACGGTTCTGCCGGGACTCGCACTGCGTCCAGCGAGGGGGGCGGGGTCGCCGGAGAACAGCACGGTGAGCGGCGAACCCTCTGCCGCTTTGCAGGGAGGTGGGGGAAGCCCTGTGCAGCTGTCAGCAATGGGCAAGCTGGGGAAATCGTGTTATTCTGGGGACAGTTGTGTAATTCAAAAAAGTTCCCTAAAAAAAATCGTGTTATCGCGAAAACATGTTAAGCGGGCATGTGTTAAATGAGGAATTACTGTATCACCTGTGTTTCATGGTATGTCTCTTCCTTTCTCTCCCCTCACAATCACATTGTGACTTATGAAAAACAGATTTGTCAAAAGCTTGTATCTGTTAATGTTAATTGTTGCTGAATTATTGGCACCGGTATCCTCTCAAAAGAGCACTAAATAGTCAGCACTTGTGCAGTTATATAAGAGCTTTCCTGTGCTATACTACAGTAAAAATAAGACAAACTAGTGGATGGCATGCAGAAAGATTCTAGAGCCCCTTATTTATATTATTTGAGGTGGCCACCATAAGACCTGTTCTCAAAACCAAATATGTGGGCAAAACCATAGTGCAAAACATAGCTCAGACATCTTTCAGCCTCCAGTAGCTAAAACACTATAATCCCATAAACTACAAGTTTCTCACACACATAGGGAAAGCCAGCGTTCAAATTCTAAAGTGAGACAGATTGGAAGTTATTTTTCTTGCGCTCATTAATATCTATTCTTGCATCTGCAAAAATGAACATGAACAGCCCAGATCTGCTGGCCACTTTCTGCTTCCCTGCCCCATCTCATTCCCTAGTTTGCTGTTACAGCCTATACCTTAGTTGCCATAATGCCTTCCTACTATACCATTCATGCCTTCTCCCTAGACTCCAAGCTGTGTTGCTCAGCTATCCCTTGGCAGCACTACACCTAATTCCACAGGCTTGTCAGAGCAGTGCCCTTCTTCTGGGGAATCACAAGAGGTTAATCCTAGACAGAAAAGCACTAAGCTCCACACCTCTGATGTCATTAGCTTCCTTGACCTAGCACCTTCCCATTAACAGGTGGTACAGAGAGAGCAGGGAGTGTGTGAAATACATGCTTTGTGCCAAACATGACAGTCGTGGAACTTGCTTCCAGTCTTGCGCCCCAGCCTTATCATTCTGCATGGCTCCTCTCACACTTGCTAACATTGCCAACATTACTCCTAGTCTAGTATACTTTATCAGATCTTCCAGAGTGAGGCTCCACTCTGGCAAACCAGAAAAGGTTAGTCCATTGGAGCAAATACCTCAAAAGAGACAAAGTTATACTGCTCTGTGCTGTGACTGTTTCAGAGCTCCTCTTCCACTGATGTGTTGATAGGAGGAACTAGGACAGTATGCACATCCAGTGTATCAATGTACACACATCAAATGCAAAACCTTAACTCTGACCTCAGATGTTTCCATGTACTTACGACATATTATGCACTTCACTGTAGATATCTGCCTGCAGAGAATACATCTTATTGAGCTAAGGATAGAGTTCAGGCTGTGTGTTTGAGTGATATCTTTGTTTTGTTTTGTTTGAGGAATTAGATCCATATGCTGCATGTGTATGTTAGAATAGAATGGTACTTAGGTATAGAGTGGAGCAGTCTGTGAGTGTTGTTGTTACCTAGTATGGATGTTAGTGTTTGCTTAACTGCAACAATAAAATTAAAATAGCTATTGACAGTGCTTTGCACTTTGAAAAAACTATGCACACAGTACACAGATACTATCAATTTAAGGTTGGCTCAGTACATGTTAAATAAAAAACAGTCATTTTAAATGCATTTACCTGCAAAATAACTGCTGCATAGGCTTTGCACTGGCAAATTCCATCCTAAGAATCTGGAAAGAAAACGCATTAAACAAAAATGAAACTTAATTGATTTTCATTGTCCAAACTAAGACGCACAAGACAAACAGAGCACATCAATATGTTTTTCATCTTTGGAATAGGAAAAGTGAATTGCTCGAGGTCAGTAGAGCTAGGATTAGAATCAGAATTCTGGTATTGTTGGGTCCCAACCTACTGATTAATTCATTAGATTAAGTTGTCTATGAGCAGGTTGGCAATTATGAGAATATACCAAATAAATAATAACCACTTAGCTAAAAACATCCATTCATGCATGAACTCAAACCAATAAAAAGGACTTTTAAATAAGACATTAGATCTAACTGACGTAAGAACAGCAAGAATGCAGACAAGAGCAGATAAGCAAAGAAACATGTTAAATTTGCAACCCATAGACTTCCTTTGATTCAGTCTACTGTCAGGCACAACTGAAATCTTTCAACCAGACTGCAATTTTACATAACATAGTTACTACAGAGCTAATTCAGGATCAAAAGGAACAATTCATATAATCTTTTTGCCACTTTGCTAGGCTTTTTTTGGAAAGTTGTACCACAAAATGAAGTCACACAATAGAGAACAGAATGTAAAAGGACATAACAAAAAAATGTTAAATCCTTTTTATTGGTTTTGAAACAAAAAAGTTCATGTGACTTAACCTAACTCCAGTGATATCATTGTATATCAAATCTTGAAAATTTAACTTCTACTAATTGCTTTTTTCCCCTAATTTTTGTTGTGAGGTTATTTGTCTTGAGAGAAGGACAGAAGGAGTTTTTATTTTTACAGATTTCTTCTATTTTTTCTCACAATCTTCATACCTTCTTTTATGGGCCTCTTTATACACTGGGTATTTGTCTAATTTTGCAGTTTGAATTAAGGAAAACTAGAACACTTTACTTAATTTCCTTGGAAAACCTCTTTTAAAATTATATAAATAAATGTAGCCTACCACGCCACTAAATATATAAATCAATATGTATTCTTAGTACACATTTACATTCTGTTCTCTATTGTGTGACTTCATTTTGAGGTATAACTTTCAAAAAAAAGCCTAGCAAAGTGGCAAAAAGATTATATGAATTGTTCCTTTTGATCCTGAATTTGCTCTGTAGTAACTATGTTATGTAAAATTGCAGTCTGGTTGAAAGATTTCAGTTGTGCCTGACAGTAGACTGAATCAAAGGAAGTCTATGGGTTGCAAATTTAACATGTTTCTTTGCTTATCTGCTCTTGTCTGCATTCTTGCTGTTCTTACGTCAGTTAGATGTAATGTCTTATTTAAAATTAAAACAAAATACAGGACTATGTAGCGCTTTAAAGACTAACAAAATGGTTTATTAGATGATGAGCTTTCGTGGGCCAGACCCACTTCCTCAGATCAAATAAGGGAAGAAAATAGTCACAGCCATAGTCCTGTATTTTGTTTCAGCTACACCAGACTAACACAGCTACATTTCTATCATTATTTAAAATTACTTTCTCTGAATGTGGTCTGTGTAACACTATCTTGTAACTTCTCCTTTCAGAATGAAGTCTTCATACTTATTGTAGCAGTTTCTAGCTCTGAGTCTCTTGCAGTTTGTACTGCAGAAACTCAGCCCTCCTTCTGCAACATGGATGTATTTTGGGACAATCATTTGTAAGGTCTAATAAGGTACCTGACAAGGATATTTTAATTACATTAAAGGACTAATTCTAGTGGAGGATTGGATCGCTCAGACACTATATAATAAGGCCCCTTTACCTCTGGATCTTCAATTCAAACTGAAGTTGATAGTAATTTTGGCAAAGCTACTGTTTTACCAGCTTGCAAAAGATAATG